TGTGTGTGTGTGGCCAGCTCAGCCCACCAGGGGGCGGGTCTGGCTGGCATGTGGTGCTGGGGATCGAACCGCGGTCCCTGTGCTTTGCCAAGCTTGTTTCAAGTAGGTGCTTTAGACCACTGAGCCATCTCTCCAGCCCCTCCTCATACTTTTAAAAACACTTCTAGAGCCTTTTTACTAAGATGGCACTGAAGGCGAAAAAGGAAGCCCCTGCCCCTCCCAAAGCTGAAGTCAAATCAAAAGCTTAGAAGGCCAAGAAGTCCTTGCTGAAAGGCATCCACAGCCACAAAAAGAGGAAGATACGAACGCCATCCACCTTCTGCCATCCCAAGACACTGAGGCTCAGGAGGCAGCCCAAATACCCTCGGAAGAGCGCCCCAGGAGAAACAAGCTTGACCACTATGCCATCATCAAGCTCCGCCGGACCACAGGGTCAGCCATGGAAAAGATCGAGGATGACAACACACTGATGTTCATTGTGGATGTCAAAGCCAATAAACACCAAATCAAACAAGCTGTGAAGAAGTTCTATGACATCTATGTTGCCAAGGTCAATACCTTAATCAGGCCTGATGGAGAGGTGGCAGTATATGTTTGACTGACTCCTGATTATGATGCATTGGATATTGCCAACAAAATTAGGATCATCTAAACTGAGTCCAGCTAATTCAAAATATGTACTTTTCTTCCCAGTAAAAAAATAAATAAAAATAAAAATAATAAAAACACTTCTGGGGGCTAGGGAGATGGCTCAGTAGAATAAGTGCTTCCCTGGCAAGTGGGTCTGAGTTCAATCCCCAATCCCCCCCCAAAAAAGGGAAAAACACTTCTAATGTTCTTAACCATTTTCTAAACTCATAAACCTACACAATTTTAACAACATATGTACACTGTATGGTAATGCAAAATCCCACAACATAGAGAAAAATCTGTGATAATACAGATTAATATTTTTTGAAAACCTGCAAAACAGTGAGTCCACGAAAGATGAACTGTGAAATAGTGAGGGAGTATTATAAATAATTTTGACTAAGCATAAATACCTTTCGACTTCTTTCAGTAGCTTTTTCATCTGCATGGGTACGGCACCTAGACAAAGACAGTACTGTTCAACATACCGAAATTCAATAATGTAGAATCTATTTAACAACTACATTAAACCATGCCATCCCAAATTGTCTAAATTATAATGAAATTATTTCTCCCAAGATGCAACAGATGCCACATTGTTCATATAGCAATATACTTTTTTCCTTTAAATACAAATATTCATTGAAATGGCAAATTATTTTCATTTATGAAATTTGAAACTTGAAATTATACAAGTATCCTACACAGCTGAGATATCCATAAAAGAGATTATGTGTGCAGTCTATTTAATCACTTCCTTCTCATCTTCTCATAGATGAGCATTCCTGAACTGAGTTTAAATGTGTTTATTATCTTCACATTTTTGTTGCGATTCTACTGTAAGTAGTACATATTTCATCTTTCTGTAATTGATTTGTTTCACTCAGCAGTACACCAAAGAGATGCTGATACACATAGCTCTAATTCAATCATACACCTGGGCATGACAGCACATGCCTATAATCCCAGGCACTCCGAAAGCAAAGGCAAGAAAATTGCTCCCAGTTTGAAGTCATCCGGAGCCATACAGTGAACTCAAGGTCAGCCTGAAGTACATAGCAAGACCGTCACTCAAAAGACCAAAATCAATCAATCAATCCTTTTAAACTGTTAGAATCTTCACAGTGCAAATTCTACCCCCTCAATTTTTTCCCCCTGAATTTTAGTAGTTATTCAGGTTGCTTTCAAACCTTCAAAAGCAGCAAACAATGTTGCAATGGATAGTTCCTGTGTGAACTCTTGTATGTGTGAACTTTTCTATAACGTAAGAGTTAAAAATTACTTGGTCCAAGATAGAAGTGTGCACATCTTCAACTTTAATAAAGGTCAAATCACATTGTGCAGGGCCGGCCAGATAGCTGAGCGGACTAAAATCACCTGCTTAGGCAGATGCAGGGGTTGGGGGTTCAATCCCCAGTCTGCCATATCAGCCCAGCCCCCACGGCGTGCTGAGAAGGCAACTGAGACTGGGCGTGGTGGCGTTTGGGTTGCTGAAAACAGGAGGTTCACTACAAGTCCAATCTGTGAGGTGAGACCCTGTACTAAATACATTTAAAAAAATTTAAAAAATCACATTGCTCTACACCTAAATAATATTATGAGAAATTTCCATTTTTGCCAATCATATGAATATGAATTGGTAGTCATTATGGTTTAACTTCCATTTCCCTAATCATGAAATTAAATTTGTATGTGTTTACTGATCTTTCTGGTTTCTCCTTTCCTAAACCACTCATGATGTACATTACTTTTCCACTGGATCATCTTTTAAGATATCCTTTGTCAGGTATACATAGTTCTATTTAATATTCTTATAGACTGAGTTTGCCTTTTCACAATTTTCATGATGTTCTGACAGAATTTAAAGATTTTTTAATCTTTATTTTTAATTTGACTGTAGAATCTTAATGTGAATAACCAGTGTTGGGGATTAAACTCGGGGCCTCAGGCAAGTTAAAACATACTCTATACCACTGTACCCTCACCCCCTCTAATTTGTTCTTTTTTTTTTTTTTTTTTTTTTGGCCGGGGATTAAACTCAGGACCTTGTGCTTGCCAGGCAGGCACTTATGCCACCAAGCTATCTCCCTGGCCTGTTCCTTTATATTCTGTGCTTTGTGTGTTAATTATTGGCACTTTATTATTCCAATCTATTATCAAAGTATGTTTCTATTTACTGAGTTGTTCTTCACCATGTTTCAGTATAATTTTCTTTCTTTTTTTTTTTAGAATATCGTGTTTTATCAATAACAGTTATACATCAAAAGTTTAGGGGTTCGTAGGTATCCTAAAAAAGTATAATTTCTTTCTCTCTTTTTTTTTTTTTGTGTTTTTTGTTTTTGCAGAACCAGGGATTGAACTCAGGCCCTTGCACTTGTCAGGGAAGTGCTTATTCTGCTGAGCCATCTCCCTGGCCCAAAAAGTATAATTTCTAAAAAATGTATTGAACAGATTTTTTTTTTTTTTCTGATATAGGCAGGCTCCTACTATGCAGTTTAGACTCACAGTGTTCCTTCTGACTCCCTAGTTGCTGGGATTATAGGTGTGTGCCACCACATCCAGTTCCAGACTGGCACGGCGTGCCCAGGATTCCAGGGCTGGCCAGACATATTGTGCCAGGGATCGAACCTTGGCACAATACCTCAGGACCTTGTGCTTGCCAGGCAGGTGCTTATGTTGCTGAGCTCTCTCCCTAGCCCCATAGATTTTGTTGTTTTTCCCAAAAACTTTTCCTGTTACTGTTGTAAATGCTTTTAAATTTTTGCTTTTGTTCCCATTTATTTTCTTTGCTTTTCCATTTCTGTTTGTACTGTTTAGAAACTCAGTTTTCATATGCAGGAACTTCATCATTCAGCAACATTGCTAAATTTATTAGTAAGCTAACAGGAAAACAAAAGATATGGCATAAAGCAGCCAGTATCTACTTTCTTTTTCTCTCACATTTCAATCCCCAATTGATACAAGATTTACTAAAACAGAAAATAGTATTTCTGAGCAATTCTTCTTATCTTTTGTATTTTCATCAGTGGAACAGGAAAATTTTCATTACCTCAATTTTACCTGTCCAACTAGTAACCAAATTTAGAAATTCAATGCCCTATTCTTAAAAGATAAATAAATTACTATTATTTTTTTAATGTATTTCGTATAGGGTCTACAAGATCTCCTATGTAGATCCGAATCATATTCTCCTGTTTTCAGCCTCCCAAGCACTGGGATACAGGTGAACGTCATCACGTCCAGTCTCAACTGCCCTCTCAGCACATCCTGGGGGCGGGGCCGGCACTGCATGCCAGGGATGGAACCCTGGCCACTGCACTGCTTAAACAGGCGCTTTTAGTCCACTAAGCTATCTGGCCAGCCCAAAGTAGTTTATTAATATTAGTTACTAGGCTGGTTGCATATTGATTTAACACTTCATTTTCCTCATTTCATAGCTCAAGAATATGAAGTCTGGGGCCAGGGAGATGGCTTAGTAGAATAAGCGCTTGCTTGAGTTCAATCTCTGGTTCTGCCAAAAAAAAAAAGAATATGAAGGTTTTTTGTTTTTTTCTTTTGGCATCAGGAATTGAACTCAGAATCTTGTGCTTGTCCAGCAGGCATTTATGCTGCTGAGCTATATCCCTGTCCCCCAAAATCTGAGATCCCCCAAAATTTAACTTCAGACTGCAAGCTTCATCCAGTGCTACTCAGCAGTAAGCCCAACACTCAGGAAGCTGAGGCAAGAGGATAACCCACAATTTCAAGGCCAGTCTGGGCTACACAGTGGAACTGTCTCAAAAAACCAGAAGACCTTAAATTGAAAAAGACCCAGGACTTGCTTAAGGTTAATCACCTAAAGCTACCACTAGTACTTTTGCCAGTGCACATAGTTCAAAAATCACATTATTGGGCTGGAGAGATAGCTCAGCAGCATAAGCATCTGCCTGGCAAGCAAAAGGTCCTGAATTCAATCCCTGGTACCAAAAAAAGTTACTTACATTGCACAATGTCTCCTGGCTATGACCAAAGCCCCAGTTGCTATTCTCATTTGTACTCATCAGGATAAAAAAGCAGTAAGGAAACTAGACCTGTAATTTAAGAGCCCCTAAACAGAGTATCTAGTTTTCTTTCTGGCTCTAAAACAGTGACAATAATCAACAGATAAATAAAACTTACATCTGCTTGAATGACTGTGTGTGAGCTGTTATGGTCTTCTTGTGGGCAACATTAATTTCCTCTGAAAGCTCTTCTACAGTTTCAATATCCACATGTTCATCATCCTCAATGTATTCTATACAGTTATTCTGAAATACATTAGTATAACAGTAAATACTATGTTGGAACGCACACCCCAACTTTCAACTGCAAACTCTCATTACAAAACCAACCAGTGCCAAACACTGACCTTATAACCATGAGTACTCATAATCCTTAACTTGCTAACCCATGGTATGAACAGTTCCCAGATGGCTATATGATGCTTCATTATTATTTCTAGGAGATCAATGTTAGTTATGGGTATGTTAGTTCATTATTTTCTTTTACTTATTTTTTTGTGGTACAAAGGATTGAACCCAGGGCCTTGTACATATTAGGTAAGTGCATTAGCATTGAGCTACATCCCGAGCTCTTTATTTTTATTGAGACTGTTTCATTAAGTTGCCCAGGGTAGCCTGTTTCAGACTCCAGGAGCAGCTAGGCTGGCTTCATAAATTTTCAAATAACAGTAGTAACAGTAAAAGGTAATTTGGAAAGAAGAAAAATTCTATTGGGGCAGCTACAAGTATAATTAGGTGATAAGGTATATACTCTGCATATTTCTGTTTTAAGGGAACTTGATGACCAACTGTATCAAATACCACAAATCAACACATACTAACACATGCCAGGGGCATGGGATACAGCTCAGCAGCACAGAGCCTGTCTGGCAAGTGCAAGGTCCTGAATTTAACTGATACCAAAAAAAAGGGGGGGATGAGAAAGACAGATATAAAAAAAGAGCAGAACCCAGCTTAGTCTTCTAAGTCTCTTAACCACAATGCCAGACATACAGAATGGTTTCTAATGAGGAATTTGGGTTTTAGAAGAAACCCAGATTGCTGTTGCTTACTATACCTAAAAAGGAGTCATTCAAGTTTGCATTTTTTTAAATTGAGTACTTACAAAAATTCACTAGCTATTTTAACAATATAATTACATGGGTATATGTGATAAGCAGGTATTTTTGAGTTCACCTTTTAAAGGAGTGTTTACTATACCTAAAACTAAACAAGGAATGTTATCTATACTTGCACTGTATCAGAGGCATAACTCAAAATGAAGCATTTCAATCATTTTATTAATCATTTAGAATTGTTGGAAAATTACCCCCTAATTATAGGTCCTGTAAGGTGCTGACACTAAATATAAGCTATCACTTATGTTTCCTCCCCAACTTAAGCACAATGTAAATGTATATTAAATTTAAGCATTGTAAACAATATATATTAACTCCAAGAAGCAAATTAACACAATACCAACAGAATCTAAAGTTAGTATTGTAGATGTATGGTTTACAATATTTAAACTGAAAAAGGTCTTATTTCATGGTTTTAATTACAGGTTTAGTGAATTAATATCTAACTTTCATAATGGAACATTTTGATTACTCACAACTTTCCTCACACCATCTAAAATAATGTTAAGCATAAAGATAATTTAGGGGTGGGAAATATAATGTAGAATTTAAGATTTGAGAGAGAACTTAATATAAAGTTTTTACTTTTAAAAGGGCAATACAATTTGTAGGATCCCCTAGTAAGCTGGACATGGTGGCACACACCTGTAATCCCAGCACTTGGAAGATGAGGCAGGAGGATCATTGTGAGTTTGAGGCTAGCCTGGGCTAGAAAGTGAGGTCAAGGCCAGCCTGGACTACATAATGAGAACCTGCTTCAAGAAAAAAAACAAAAACCAAAAAAATTCCTATTAGCACATTAAAGCAACACCACCTCATGACTAAGGCACTCTTAAGGTTTTACTGTAAGTTCCACTCAGAGCAGTTCTTTAGGATGTTTTATTTCATTTTGTTTTCAGTGCCAAGGACTGCATCAGGAAGCAATGAAACATCCCTAGCCCTGTCTCATCCTTTGAATTTTAATACAGAGTCTCCCTAAGTAGTCCAGGCTGGCATCAAACTTGTGGTCCTCCTGCCTCAGCTTCCAGAATAGCTAGGACAGGCATGTACGCCCAGCTGTATTCACTGTTTTTCAAGACTGGACTGTTTTCTTCTTTGATGTATTTACCTAGAGCAGAATGGCAAACTTGCTGCAGGGAACTGCTTGTATCACTAAAAGCTCTAAACTTCATAGTTTTAAAATAGTAATCTTTTCCCTATATTTTCCCTGCCTAAGGCAGTTAGATATTAATAAAGAAGGATCAGACAACAGAGGGACTGAGTGCATCCCAAGGAAGTGGTAGTCCCAAACAACCAGCTGCAAGGTAAGTGGTACAGAAGTGCTATGTCATCTATTCTTCTTCGAAATTATTTATTTATTTGGTACAAGGTCTCACTATGCATCTCAGACTCCTCAGTGCTGGGATTACAGGCATGCACCACCCACACTGGTTTTCAGTGGCCAGCACATGGTACCGGGGATCAGAAACTGAACTCAGGTACTTGCATTTGCCAGGCAGGCACTTAGACTGCTGCTATCTCCCCAGCCCTATGTCATCTACTCTTAAAGAGAAGAACACAGTTCAAATTTCAGAACACCCTGTAGGCAGCAGAATATGGCTGCCTTGGCTTTTATATCAGACCCTTTATCAGAGGGTCAGCAGTTTACCACCTGTTTTTATAAGGTCACAGCTATATTCATTCTCTTACATAGTTAGTGGCTGCTTCTGCACTCAAAACAGTTCAGTCATTTATCCTGCCAAGTCTAAAATATTAACTATTTGCCTACTTGCAGAAAAGTTTTTGTAACCCATGTCCTCTATTATCCTCCAGTTAGTTTAGGAAATACACACCAATACAAAGTCCACAAAAATGCTTCATAAAATTTTTTAGAACTATAAATTTTGTATTACAAAAAATGATTAATTTTATTAAAATATTACATGGTATTTTCCAGGTCTCCAAAAAAAAGGTCGAGATACAAATAGTAAGTTCTCTTCCTAGTTCTAAGGTCACCCACCCATTTATTCTAGCTTATTATATGTACTGGATAAGCTACAATCACTCAAAATAGAAAACATTCCATAAACTAAGGTCAAATGGATGTAATGATTCCAAACATCTTTTTAAAATCCAACTTGGTAGGAACTGTTAAGCATCTATACCCCAAAGACTTTACCATAATAAATCTAAAAAAAAAGAGAGAAATCCAATAAACATTGCCTGACTAATGCATCCTAAAAACTACAAAGTCATTTTCATTGTCTAAACCTACACATCCAACTACATGTATTAGGTCTTACTGATCTTCTGGAAAAGCTACCGTCTCTAATCATTTAAATCCTTCAGATTTCAGTCACAATAAAAATGGGCTCACCACCTTTTCTACATCCTCAACCTCCTCACTCTGGTAGTCAGACACAACATCCACAATTTCATCAACAGAATCATCGGTTTTTTCATTCTCTTCTTCATCCTCCTCTTCCAAATCCAAACCAATGAAGTCAGCACTGCTTTTTCTATCCTTTTGGTCTTGCTTTGGTTTCATCTGTTTTCCTGGTAGTAGTAAATCACCCTGATAAAGTTCATTCCCTCTGTTTCCTTTTGTAATTCGCCTAGGAATGATGGAGAAGGCTGCAGGATTAGCAATCCTACTCCAAGAATCACACTCAGTTTTTAAAACTCCATCATTCTCACCAGTTCCACTTTTCTCATATAGACCAGACATGTCCTGCTCTTCTTGAAACACATCTGAATCTTGATATGGCTTTGATTCTCTAATTAATTGCTCATCTGCCTCTTTCTTACATTCTTCTGAAGTTCTAACATGTTTTCGGACCAAGGGGCTCTTTGGATACTTTTTCCATCTTTCCCTAATCCTGTCCTTCTCCAGAGAGTCCACACAATTCTTCTCCTTGGCCTCTGGCTGTGAATTACATTGTTTCTGAAGCATAAGTTTGTTCCCTGATAATTCAATAAATAGAAATTCATTTCGTTTTTCATCTGGATTATCTAATTCTTTCCGCTGCTCCACCTTCACATCACCAGACTTCTGAAGCTGTACTTTACTCAGATTTTGTACTGTCATATTACTGGATTTTTCAGAAACTGTCCTAACTTCTAGAACAGTCACTTTTTCTTTGGAACTGTTATGATTTCTAGTCCCACAATCTTCAGTAACATCTTTACAGTCTTCACTTGTGTGTGATTCAGTGATGCAGGAGTGCTCAGAAGGTTTGACAGTTGTGGAATCTTTTTCTGTAAGGGATTCTTCATTCAGACAATCACCCCCATCTTCCAAGGAATCCAAAGTTTCTTTTGAGGAAACAGTTCCTAAATTCTGCTTAATTATGCTAGCCTCAGAACCTATACCTTCTCCTTCTGACTGTACAGTTGTCTTAGTTTCCTTCTCTCTTTTTACGGAGTTTGTTTCATCTTTCTGGTCTCCATTCTGGGATTCTTTCTTCATCTGAAGGGCAGCAACATGCTGGAGAATGGAGCTAGGAACAGGCTTTTGTCCTGGGAGCTGCAGCAAGGCAAAACTACCAGACTGGAGAGGAATGAGATTGGCTGTACTAACAGGCTGTGCTCCTGAGCTATATGTTATTTTGGTTTCAGAGCCTGTTTTACTTGCAAAACTCTGTGGCTCAGGAGGAGAAATCCTCAGGGTCAGAGTACCAGCCTGAGAGACAAAACTTGGTCCAGAGGAAAGTAAAGATGGTGCCTGAGTGATTACATTCACTGCTGGAGAAGATCCAACAGCCTGAATTACAGGATTTACAACAGAAAAAGCAGAGGATGAAGTAGAAGATGGTGGTAACTCAGAAGGCTTGGAAGGCGTAGGCAAACGGATTCCCACCACAGACCCTGTTAAGAAAAAAGAATTCCTTTAATCACCACAGCCCATATCAAGCATATTCTTCTTTTTGGACAGATGACTCTAACAGATCAAGAACAATCCTGGAGTGGTAATATGTATAACACATAGCCAACCAATTACACAAAAATCATCAAGAAGATCCCCAACTTTATACCTGGGTTCCGAAACATGACAGGTTGTAAGCTGGGCTGGGTACCAGAACCTCGGATCTGATGCAAAGGTAGAAGCTGGACAATTTGCCCATTGGGATGCCTAAAGAGATTCATTCCACTTGGGCTCCTAACAGGCTGTAAAACCATCCGTTGTCCCTGAAGTTGTGGGTTTGGGACAGGTCTAAGTGTAGGAGAAGTCTGCTGCACTGGAATCAACAACAACCGAGGTCCAGGACGTTTCAATGCATTAGGAGATATTTGTGGAGCAGCCACTGGAATCTGAGGGACATTTTCTGAAAAATAACAATGAAAACATAGCATGAAAATTTCCATTAATAGTGGGCTGGGGAGATGGCTCAGTAGAAGGGCCTGAGTTCAATCCCCGGTTCCACAAAAAAAAAAAAAAAAAAATCCCCTTAAACATACATTGAATTAAAATTGTGATGACATAAGATCTCAAAATACTGAATTACATAAAATTGGTGAGATTCTGGATTCTGTCCCTCTATTAGGCATCATTTATTGCCAACAGTAATTGGTCAGTCATTATAGACCTTTACATTCAAAATGATATCCATTATCAAGAGGTGAATGTATAAAGATAGTGTTTTTGCCTCAAGAAAAAAAAGAAGCAGACCTGTAAATATGAATTCACATAAAGCTCAAAAGATTCACTCTTTTTTTTTTTTTTTTTCTTGGTACTGGAAATTGAATTCAGAACCATGCACTTGCCAGACAGGCACTGTGCCAGTGAGCTACATCCCAGTCTTCAACTTTAAAACTGAAGCTGAAAGGGCCAGGGAGATGGCTCAGTAGAATAAGCACTTTCCTGGCAAGTGCAAGGGCCTGAGTTCAATCCCTGGATCAATCAATCAATCAATCAATCAATAAATAAATAAAAGCTGAAAATACTTACCAACCTTACTTTAATTTTACAGCTTATACTAGTGGAACATGAAAGTCAAGGACTAAAATTATGAGGCACATGAAAGGCATCTTAAGGGCAGGCCAGATAGCTCAGCAGATTAAAGTGCCTGCTTGAGCAGACATAGGGACCTGCTGGATCCCCAGCCTGCCATACCAAGCCCCACCCCCGGGGGCACACTCAGACACAATTGAGACTGGGCATGGTGGTACATGCCTGTAATCCCAGCACTTGGGAGGCTGAAAATAGGATCACTATGAATCCAATCTGTGTAGTGAGACCCTATACTACACACATAAAAAACTAAATAAATTTTAAAAATTCTAATCAAAAAAGAAAGTCATTTTGGCTTTTAAAATTCACTAATAAGCAAACTTTTAAAGATTTGTGGAAACCATTTCTCAAAAGAAAAAATAATACCCTTGCCTGCAGTTTGTAGAGACACAATTAGAGGAGATACCAAACAAGCAGGTAAATAAAGCTTGGCAAGGAAGGGATAAAGCATAGTTTTAAAACCAATTGACATGGGAAAAAATGAGTAACCTACACAGAGATTTTTGGGGCTAGGAGGACACAGGAATAAAGAGTCAGGAAAAATGATTAACAGATAATAAACAAAAAAAGTGTAATATTACCAAATTGGGGAACTTATTAAATAAAACGTTTTTACTAGTTTACCATTAAATTGAAAATTAACAAACAAAGCAAAAAACATTTAGCTTAACATGTATGATTTTTCTCAGACATATACTCTGCCCATAAAATATATCAGATTTCTAACATTTAGATGACAAACTATACACAGAAAATCCAAAAGTAAGTGAAATGAAGCTGGGTATGGCAGTGCACATCTGTGATCCCAGTACTCAGGAGACTGAAACAGGAGGATCACTATGAGTTTGAGGCCAGCCCAGGCTATAAAGTGAGAACAGGATTAGCCTGAACTGCATAGTAAGATCCTATTTCAAACTGTTCATGAAAAAGTGTACAACTTACAGAGTTCATCTCATGAATTTTTAAAGATATTAACTTTCTTAATTAAAAATATTCATGTTACATCATGAAGATTTTAAAAAATTCATAAACTATTTTTGTAATTTGCAAATCACGTTTTAGATTGGAAATCTAAATTACTTCAATCAGAGAATGACAGCGATCTTTATTATATCCAATGAATTTTCGATGCTTATTTAAGCTGTAGGTGTGAGAAGGGAAAATGAGATTAAAAAAAAAGGAACTCAAATGAAAAGGCCAAAGACAAAGCACACAGGTTGAGATCCTTTTTATGAACTAAAAACAAAACGACAATTTCCTTTTTTAAAAAGTACCAAGTCAACTTCATTTATAAAGCAGAAATGAAAAAATTAATGTTACTAAAGTATTATAGAAAACATTTTAAGTAATATACAAATGTACAGTAGCACATCACATTCAGAAAATTCCTTTGTCAATTTTAATCCTTTATATAGATTAGTCTTTTTAGTTTACATTTTCAGTATTATTCCAATATTTTCTAGGCTTTTTCAACAGAAAATAAGCCACATGCTCAGAATATGTCGCAGCTAAGCAGATTTTTTTTTTTTTTTTTTTTTTTACCCAGGATCAATTTCAGGACCTTTCACTTGCCAGGCAGGCAACTTATGTCACTGAGATATCTCACTGGCCCTCAAGAATTTAATGGTAACTTTATTATTTATATTTTCAAAGTTTTTATTTATGGCATAGTTATAGCTTGTATCTAGATGTGCCCACAAAGCCTCATACAATTATGGGGTGGACTTCTAGACTTACTGATTAATTCATGATCCAGTGCTGGGATTATGGGTGTAAATGTTGCTGGGATTTATGGGTGTGAGCACTACACCCAGCCTGGAGTGGATAGCTTGAATGCAACATTAGAGAGGCAGACTTGCTCTCTGCTGTTGTTGCTGCTACCCATCCCTTTGCTCTTTGCAGTCTTTTGCCACAATGAATTGCTCTCTGTCACATGCCACTCTACCTTGGAGCCAGATGAGTATGGACTGAAACCCCCACAAATGGAGCTAAATAAACCTTTCCTTCCTTAATTTTGGTTGCTGAGCAACAAGAGAAAAGTAACAAGGATTAAGCTTTGTTTTGGCAAGTTAATGCTGTCAATTAATTTTTTTAAAAAAAATATGTATTTGCCAGCTGCTTAGGCAGATGCAGGGGTCAGAGGTTTGATCCCTGGCCTGCTGTGCAGGCCTCACCCCCAGGGTATGCTGAGACGGGCGACTGAGACTGGGCATGGTGGTGCCCGCCCAGCACTTGGGAAGCTGAAAACAGGAGACTCACTAGAAGTCTAATCTGTGTAGTGAGGCCCTATTGACCCTGCACTAAATACAAATATATATACCAGGTGTGGTGATACATGCCTATAATCATCCCAGCACTTGGGAGAGGCAGGAGTATCGTGAATTTGAGACCAGCCTGGGCTACAAAGTGAGCACAAGGTCAGCCTGAACTGCATATGGAGTTCTTCTTACAAAAAGATTTTTTAAAAAAATCAAATATATATTAAACAGCTGGGTGTGGTGGTGATACCTAGTACTCTGAGAGGCTGAGAAAGGAGGATCACAAATTCCAACCCAGCCTGGGCAACTTAAAACCCTGTTTCAAAAAAACTTTACAATAGGTATGAATATAGCTCAGTAAAAGTTCCTGGGTTCAATACCGGTGGTTTGGGAAGCACACAACTAGGCCAGACATGGTGGCACACACATATAATCCTAGCTACTAAGGAGGGCAAAGGCAGCAGTATTTTTACTAGACAAAAGGAAAAAAACAATATATTTTAATCTTCAGCAAAGGATAAAACAAAAAGGTGCTTCAGCTTGGTTAGAGCATAGGCACAGGTCTTTCATCTCATTGCCTCTTTTTTAAATTAAAAAGCAGCATGCATGCACACACACACACATGCCCCCCCCCCCAATGAGAACCTGCACATAGAATCGCCCTCAGAGAAGTACACTTCCATTTACATTAAGTTGTACCCTTCCTTCCAGGCCAACCTTATTGGCTGCTCCATTTCTTTTTCTTTTTGGCAGAACCGGGGATTGAACTCAAGCCCTTGCAAACGCTTACTATACCGAGCCATCTCCCCAGCCCTCAGGCTGCTCTATGTCAGAGTTCTACTCTCATATACATTATTTCAGTGTTCTTCAGCCAACATTTCGATTCTAATGTTTTCTGAGTGTTTAGCATCTCTTAAAATAACCTCCAACTCCACCAAGTCACTTGTCTGATTACCTGCCAAGGAATCAAACTGCTTTTAAAACATCCTGGCAACAAAACTGCAGATTCAGGTGTGGTGGTTCAGGGCTATAATCCCAGCTATTGAGGAGGCTAAACCAGGAGGATCTTAAATTCAAGGCCAACCTGGCAAGTTAAATGAGGTCCTATCTCAAAAAATAAATAAACAAACAAAAAAAAAATGACTAGGAAGGTAGCTCATCAGTGCAAAAGCTCTGGATTCAATCCCTAGTACTAAAAGAAAAAAAGGCAAAACCACAGACTTTCAGATATCTGTCTTAACCCCGTATTAATAATAAGCTCTATTATTTCTAGTACTGCTTCGTTTTGGGGTTTTTTTTGGGGGGGAGTGGTGCTGGTACTGGGGATTGAACTCAGGATGTTATGCTTGCCAGGCAGGCACTTACATTGCTGAGCTATCTCCCCAGTCCTCTAGTGCTGTTTTAAAGAATGCAAATATTTTCAAGAATACAAGAGCAGAAATGCCTAGACCAGTGATGGTGAACCTTTCTGAAAAGTTTCAATTATAAGAACAGCCCATTGCAGCATGTGTTATATATATAGGCTTGTCACCAATGGCCTGTACAGCTGTATATGCAAATAGTTGTGATATATATGCATCTGTTATATATATCCTGATATACATGGATTCCTATCACAATCACAAAATTATATACACAGCTATATAGTAAAGCATTGAGTAACAACTAGGCCTTACCTGGTCTCTGGCTTACTGGTGGACTCCCATTAATTCCTGAGAGTATAATAGGAACAGAGCCCAGAGATGAAGTTGGTGTGGTCACCACGGAGGAGGAGGAAGAGGCAGCTGTGGTCACCATGACTATGGAGGTGGAGGCAGTGGAAGCAACAGGAAGAGTTATGGTTGGAGGAGATGTTACCAAAGATTTAGGAAAAGCAACTGAAGCCACAGGGGTAGTTATCCCAGTAGTTTTGGTAAGGTTCACAGTGGCTGTAGACTGGGTAGATGTTACAGTGGTGCTGGTATTGGTTTCAGAGACCTCAATAACCCCTGCAGTGGTGGCACCAGAAGAATAAGTAGTTTCTTTAGTTCCCACGTCAGAAATAGCAGTCATAGATGTCACAGCAGTAACATTTTCTAAAAACACTTGAGGGGTGGTAGTAGTGACAGCAGCAGTCACAGGGCTGCACACCTGAACTGGCTCAGAAGAAACAACAGGTGTGACGACCATTACTGGAGAAGGTCTGATACTGAACTTCTGTGGCCCTGTCAGGGTTTGGGGTGTGCTAACTCCAGGTATCTTCTGCTGTAAGGCTCCAACTTTACTCATCACAAACTGTGTGAACACACCACCAGGAGAGGGTCGAGCCGCTGCAAATAAAAATTTGCAGGTCAAAAATCTTCAGTTCTCTTATTACACCCTTCTCGTGACTGTGTTTATTAGCATTTACTGTGCACCACTGGGTCTATTTCTCACAGGTACAAGCACCTACCTTCATTTTATGTGCCAATTTTGACCTACAGAAATCAAACACTTCCCTTAACCCAAAGCAAATAATTCTAATAAGAAAGGGATTTAAAATTTGAGTTTCCCAACTATAATTCTTTAAGGCTATACAATACATTCAAATTGTCAGGACACTAAAAAGATACAGCAATGAACAATTTTTTACCTAAAAAGGTTTTCTTTTCCCTAATTCTAGTTTTAAAACTTATTTCCACCATTTTCTACTGCACCAACAGCTCCACCTCTTTATAGCTGCCCTTATAGTTGAATACTGAGTATTCTTAAAATATACAAGGAAACTTTCAAAAGTGAGCAAGAAAGGGCTGCTTTTGGGGGGGGGGAATTAAATCACAAACCCTTTTAAAAGGAGACACAATAGGTTCTTTTTAAGATACACAACACCTATCCTGTCTTCAAACAACTCCAGCCTTCAGCCAGATACTTCAATTTCCTGTTAAGAGTAATATGATATTGCAGGTTAATAATTAGCTTCTCTTCTGGAGGGTTAACAACCCAAGTTAGCAGATCAAAACTGGAGAAAAGGAAGGGCTGCATGGTTAGCCAACATTTTGGCCCTAGCCTTTCAAGGTCAGTGAAGACTCGGGACATAGGAGAACCTGTACTGTAACAACATGTAACTTAGTTGTGCTCCAAATTTTCTGATCAAGAAGATTATGGAGCCACAGAGAAATGTGTTCGATGATCTAAAGTGAGCCTGGGGAGAGTCACATGGAGAGAAAAAACATTTCCTCAAGCTTTCACAGAGAGCAAATTGGTCAAGGCAATGGCCGTGACTCATCCTCATGACACTGACAAAAGGATGTACAAAAGGTGGTACAGGGCTACAGAATAAATCCTGAGTGTACTTGGCTGACCTTATCAGATACAAAAGTTACATTTCTGGGTATACAGGTCTTGCTGTATCTTGGTCTTAACCATCCAGCAGAAAAGTATAAAAACGAGGTATATAAAGTAAATCCATATTAATATGATGAGCTGTTAAAGGCTCAAGTCAGTAACTTCTGAGGATAACCCACTAATATTACAGACTGCTAGACAGTGTTAAGATTGTTTAGTTGAATTTAAGCACTTATAGTATTTAGATGCCAATAGAATATTCACCTCTGACAGGACAAAAAAAAATTTAAAAAAAAAGATACAAAGGAAAGATCATTTTGTATTTATATATACAAAATAGGATAAATTTACAGCTACTTTCGCTTAACTCAATGAGAAGAAAGAGGTGTACTAATAGTGTTCGGACAGAATATCCTGTCTGCTTCTTGTACTATGGATAACCACTAAGAAGATAACAATGTACAGTGTATTGACTATCAAAACTGTCCTATTAATCAGCTGTGAAACTGTCTCATTCATATTTCTCAATAAAAAAAAACGATTGCAAGGTGACTTTTATAACAAAATGTAACTCTAGTAATAAACTCAATAAAATAGCCTTGAAACTGGAAAAAAAAAAAAAAGAGTAATATGAATGAAGACACACAATTGCACTTTCATTTAACATTCCCAAACGTTTGAAACAACAAAAGGATTTCAATAAATAACTGTATGCGCTCTCAACACTAAAACAAGAATGATTCAAGAAGACAATTTATTATAGACTCTAGAAATGAAATGTTAAGCAAAAGAAAGGTTCTCATTCACAAACAAGGATGTAGAGAACAATAAAAATTTTGAAAGTTGTATTTCACAAAAGCCTTCTACTTTAAACCTAGACCATCTCATCCCACTAGTATGTGGTACTTTCTTGAATTCTTAAGTTCAAGAATTATACTGTGCCTGGTGCTAAAAAAGCCTCAATTCTTATTGGAAAAATACCAGGGAAAATATCTTTTTTGGGGGGTGGGGGACGGAACCAGAGATTGAACTCTGGCCCTTGCGCTTGCCAGGGAAGTGCTTATTCCACCGAACCATCTCCCCGGCCCCTAAAATATCTTTTAAATGTCAACATTTTGAAGAAAATTATAATCGTAAGTATTTAATGTATTAATATACCCAAAGCCTCAACTATAATTGTAACACCAATAGAGCTCAATTCTTCTAGTATCATGAATCATCAGAAGAGCTACCAAGAAAAATTAAAAAATATGTAAGACACACATAAACCATATGCCATATCCTGTATTTCTCAAGTTTCTACAATCCTATCAGTAATCACAGGCCAAACACTAAGTTATAGGTCTTTTCAAAACAAATCTATTCTCCAACTTACCAATTGGCCTTTTTGCCAGGACAAATGTCTTCGGATTCTTCCCAGAGCGGTTTGTTGAAGTGCCAGAGGAGGTTGCCATTTTGGAATTGGATGTTGAAGGCAGTAGGGTGCGTGGTTTCCTGGATGCAGCCACCTTGGCATTGGATGCTACCTTGGAGATGACAGTACTGAGGGTTGAGAGGTCCAGGACTGAGGGTCGCAACCTGCCTGTGATATAAGCAGCTAGCCTATTGGCTGGATGCAATGCCCCCATCTGTCCCAATAGCAACTTAGCCTGCGGGTAACTCTTACCATTAACCTGAAACAAGTGGCAAAGAGAAATTCTGTAAAGATAAAATTCTCTTTCTAGCTCCTCTCCCATGATAGGGGTGTTTCATTTTTACAAGGTTTTTTTTTAAAAGTTTCTATTTCAGATGGAGGAATAAGTGACTTTTTTCTTTCAAAGTAATCCATGTAATGGGAAGGAGAAAAAATGCCATCATCTGATATTATGAACTAAGCTGACCTCATTCCATATATTGGAAATAAGAATCTTAGAAACTCACCATTTTTACACCCTAAATATGTATGAGAAAGAAGCAGGATTTTTTTTCTTTAACTTTAATAAGCAATTCTGAGTAAGCTATTTAACAGTCACTAGGAAAATTGAAAAATCAATACACAATCTCTCTGATAAGACCAGAGGCAAAATGAACCCCTCACTCAAGGGTCCTTTGAAACAGCCTTCCTATTTGAAATATATATGATGAATCTACTAAGAAAATCACTGTTACAATACCTAAGCTACAAAGTGACTTTAAATTTTGGTTTTTTTGTTTGTTTGCTTCAAATTTTGGTTTTCAAAAGGCTCAATTTTGAAATGATTGTCTTCATGACTTAAAAATGTTAGTATAAACTTGTTATAATCCTAGATATAATGACTAAATTCTCAGAAAAAAGTAGAACCAACAAATGTCATACAAGGGCCAGCCAAATAGCTCAGCGAACTAAAGCATGTGCTTAGGCAGAATACAGTAGCCAGGTTGGATACCCAGCATGCCATGCTGGCCCTGGGGGCCTGCTGATGTGCGATTAAGACTGGGCATGGTGGTGTGGGCCTGTAATCCCAGTGCTTGGAAGGCTGAAAACGGGAGGATCACTACAAGCCTGACCTACGTAGCGAGACCCTGTAGACCCTGTACCAAATACATTAAATAAATAAAAATGACATAAAGATTTTCTGTGCTGCCAGAGTGGATTACATTGCCCAACCAAGGCAACAGCACAATTATTTGTTTTTAAGGACAGAAAACAGAAACCTCTCAACATAGCATAAGATTATTACTTATCTATATTCTCTAGGTCATATTGCTGGATGACCCTAGAGAAGATAATCTTTCCTAGCTCATTAAAACTGGGAGACAGAGGGTGAGGTAGAGTGTATTCTCTGACAGAGAACTGGTGAGGTGATAAAATACACCTCACTCTATGTTTAGAGATGTAAGCCACTACATCTCTAAACACACAAAATTACTCTTTGCTACTCATATAAAATTGCACTTATTCCCAGAGATCAAGAATATCTCTGCCTCAAGTTTGGTACAAAAAATGTGATCTTTCCATCCAAAAGTAACCTTTACTATAGTTTTTAGATGTTATACTATAAAGAATCTAGGAAAAGATATCTCTCTCTGTTCCCGATACTGTTCTGACGCCTACTCAGCAGCTTCCCCAAAGTATATACAGGTGGAATATTCCTTAGCCAACATAGCTGGGACCAGAAATGTTTCAGATCTGTGACTTGAAAAATTGTGCGTATATATGATACACTGAGAATAGGACCCAAACCTAAGTGCAAAATTCATTTATGCTTCATGTTTTGGGGCTTTTTTTTTTTTTTTTTGGTCTTTGTTTTTTTAAGAGCAGAATATATTTATTGGAGGAAAGAAAGCTTCTGTTTGAGAGAGGGACAGAAGGGGAACCAGAGCGGGTTGCCCCCATATAAATAGTCTTTTATAAAATACTTCTGGTGTGCAGGTGTGGAATTTTCTACCTGTGGTTCATTTGAAAAATTTTCAAATTTCAGGTCAGATTTTTGGATTAATAATGATCAACTTTTATGTAAAGAGAAAATATTGTTGGGAGTTTAAGAAATACTAATAACGCCAGGTATGGTGGCATATGCCTATAAATCCCAGTACATGGGAAGCTGAGAAAGGAGGATTTCTGCCAGTTTTGAGGCCAGCTTGGACTACATATTGAATCCAGGTCAGCCTGAACTACACAGTGAGACCCTGTTGCAAAACAGAAACAAAAACCAAAGAAATGCCACCAGGATTGCAGTGAAGTTGACGCCAGCCTGGGCTACAAAGTGAACTAAAGGCTAGCCTAAAGTGCAAAGTGAAACCCTGTCTCAAAAAGACAAAAAGAAAGGAAGAAAAAAGACTGAAAGGTGATAGTTTTAAAGTCAATCACTTATTATTCATGGAGCAGACCTAAGCCTAGAGGAGCAGTCACACTCATCAAAGTCAAGCAACTTTGGCAATGACATGAGATACTTGTGCTTATTTGCTATTTAATCACTAATAAAAACATATCTGCTGTCACTGAGCTAGAAAAACCTTTTGAGTATGATGACATTTTAATTTAAAACTTCTCTTTCCAAAGGCTTTTCTAGATGCCAGCATCATTTTACTAATAAAAACTATCTAAATTATTAAACAGCAAGGAGAGAAATATTACTGCAACAATGACTACAGTGGAAAAACCCCAAGAATAAAATAAAAAGTAAGTAAATGTGGCTCAATTCTTTAAAAGTTTGTATGTTTGAAAAACCATTAAATTAAAATTTTCCCCAGGGTCAGGGATACAGTTACATGACTGAGCTTTTGCCTAGCATGTGAGGTAATGGGTTTGATCATTAGCACTGCAAAACCAAAAAAACAAATTATTTCACCCCTTTCTAAACATATACCACCTACTGCCTGCCTTAAAGCTAACTTTCCTATCTCCCTTTTCACTACTTCTAACATTTTAAACATGAGCTTTGTTTGTCTGAAGTACTGAAGATTGAACGTGCTAGATAAGAATTCTACCACTGAATTACATTCCCTGACTCACTGACTGACTGACTGATTGATTTCCAGGAATCGAAGTCAGGACCTTGTGCTTATCAAGCAGGCGCTGTGCCACTGAGCTATATACTCAGTCTTGAGCCTGTTTTATTTTGAGAAAAGGTCTCAATAAATTGTCCAGGCTGACTTTAAACTTAAAATCCTTTTGCCTCAGCCTTCCAAGCAGCTGGGATTACAGACATGCACCATGATACTAGCTACCTGCATTTACTTTGAAGGTAGTCTGTTATTAATAAACTTTTAAGAACTACTCCGAATGCCTAACTTTGCACCATAACTACTGAGTGTGGGTGTGCTAGCGTGCCCCCTTATAATCCCAGCACAGAGGAGGCTGAAAATAGGAGGATCACTAAGAGTCTGGGCTGTGTAGTGAGGCCCTGCACAAAAAAAAAAAAAAAAAAAACACACCCTGAAAAAAGAAACTATCACTAGATCCCAGGCAAAAAGGGTTAAGAAGACAAATGGGCTGGTCAAACAGCTCAGCAGATTAAAGCACCTACAAGCAGGAACAGGAGCTGGGTTCGATCCCTGGACTTACCATGTGGGCCTCGCCCCCAGGGTGCACTGAGATGGCAACTGAGACTAGGCGTGGTGGTGCACGCCTGTAACTGCAGCTCTTAGGAGGCTATAAATAGGCAGATCACTATGAGTCCAATCTAGTAGTGAGACCCTGAACACCCTGTAGACCCTTCCCCAAAAAAAAAAAAAAAAAAAAACCAACTTTCTGGAAATACAAGAAAGAAATTTATAGGCTAATATAAAGCCTATGTTATACAATAGTTATACTAAAATATATTTTATTGGGGCCGGGGAGATGGCTCAGTGGAATAAGCGCTTCCCTGGCAAGTGCAAGGGCCTGAGTTCAATCCCTGGTTCTGCAAAAATAAATAAATAAATACATAAATAAATAAATAAATAAATAAATAAATAAAATATAAACTCTATATTTCAGTTTTTAAGTGTGCCAAAAATTCACTGTGGGTATATTTCTAATACTGATCTATTAAAGAAAGGGAAAATGATTTTTTCTTAACTCTCATGAAATGTGAAGACATACTGTAAGGGCTAAAAAAGGCTCTGGAAAAAAATTAAGATGTTACCTAAGTATAAAAAGGTGCTATATCCAGATTAAAGATAATTCTCACCTGGATAAGCCCAGATGTGCTTGAACTGGGTTTACGCTTATAGGCCACAAGCTTTCCTGCAGGGGAAAGCCCTGCATAAAAAGGCAGACCTTTGCCTCCATGTAATCTCTCCCTCACTGAATCCAGGGCATCTGTCTGCACAGGAGAGATATCATCCATTTTCCCAGGGGACAATGGACCATCAGGAGTCTCTGATCCAGATTTCTCAGCCATATCATCTTGGTCTTGACATGATGGCATAGAGATTTTCACACGAGAAGAATAAACAGGAGGGTTCTTCTCACCCCGGCTCTTTCGCTGAGAAGCCAACTCAATGATGAAGCTGCCCACCTTAAGTGATTGTGGCATGTTGCTATTGATGTGCTGAGATAAGATGCTCAAAATCTTGTTCCGATCCTCCTCCCAGTTGCAGTCTGAGATGATCTCTATCAGTTTGGTGGGACCACCAGGAGACTTCTGATGCACATAAGAGGTAGAAGAGGATTCCCCTTCATTGGAGGGAGACTTCCAGCTCTTTTCTGATTTAAAAAAAAAAAAAAGTGGTATGTCTACATATCTCAACCACTTTATACTAAACTTTGAAAGAAATGCAACAGCTTCTCAATGACCCATTTCCCATATACTTCAAGGGGTAACCTCATGTAAACAATAATATTGGAGTTTTCCAGAAAGATGGATGATCTCACAGGATCAGCCTAGAATCATCTTCACTATTCTGCTTACTGAGCTCTTGGATTTAGGAAAAAAAGAAAAAGAATCCCTTAATGTTGCTCTGAAAGGCTACTACTACCGAAGAAAGTGCTAGCTTGCAAAAATAGCATGACCTTCATCAAAATTAGGCTGGCATAAATTAATATTCTGCTATAGGCAAAGCATATATGCAAAGGAAAAATACTTGCAAGCTTGATTTGCAACATATCAAAATGATAGTCCATACTAAAGAAGTGCAAAGGAGACTTGTGGGGTTTTTGTGGTTTTTTCCCCCTTCTTTTAATACATGGTCTCATTGTGTAGTTCACACTGGCCTGGAACTCATCATAGTGATCCTCTTGCTCCAGCCTTCCCAAGTGCTAGGATTACAGGCATGCTCCACCACACCCAACTGGGACTGTTTTGGTTTTTAAAAAGATGCTCTTTCCCTAGTTTCTATTGTAAATATTCTAAATAACTTCTGTAACTCTATATAATATTGTTCCATTTCCTGACTATACATGGATCATTCAATTCCCCAATGTACTTCTATCCATATTACCATGTTGATATATGTGTTTCACTACACAGCTAGATTTCTACAACAGAGCTTCCCAACTAATGAGCCACAACTGTAGGACATCAAGAATATAGGTTCCTATAGCCTCCAAGACACTTATCTTCAGGCTGTCTCCTCTACTCTGTTCCCTCAGCATGCTACAGACACATTATTACTCTCTGTATGTACCATGAAATTTAAGAAGGGCAAGGGTGGTTTATGAAGCATTGTTTCACTAAGTGTCTTAAGGCTTAAGAATCATAACTGAAAACAAAAGAGGAAACTGCCTAGTCACTAACTTTCATCATGGTAATAAACCAGTGACATTACTTCCTTTCTTCTTCTACATTCTTCCAGTGATAGTAGCTGGGGAAGACCCAGAGCAAATTTCAATAGCTAATGCTGCCAATAAAGTCGAGGTTTGGAAAGGACTTAAATTTTTTTTTACTGACCTAATTCTCAAATGTCTCTTGCTACAGGCACATGAAATAAATTTCTTTTATTTATTTATATTTTAGGGAAGGGTGTACAGAATGTTCAGGGTCTCACTACTAGATCGGACTCATAGTGATCCGCCTAATTACAGCCTCCCAAGAGCTCGGATTATAGGCGCTTGCCACCACACCAGTCCTAGGGATGAACTCCTGGCCCCTGCACCTGATTGCAGGTACTTTAATCAGCTGAGCTATTTAGCTGGCCCTTTTATTTTTGAGAATGAGAGGATTAAGTAAACCAAATAATGTGAGAAGATTTACTTATCTCTTTTTTTTGGCAAAAACCAAAAGTAGATCATATATTTTGAATGGGTAGTCTTAAAAAACTTGGTAAACTATTTCCCGTCATTAAATAATCCAGACCTATATAACAAACATTAGGATCTAATCTTCATTCTGACCTTGTGATTTATCAGAATCATCCTCCAAGTCACAAATGAATTGTTTTAAAGGCTGCTGTTCAGAATCAGGTTCCTAAAGGAGGAAATAACACACAAACACTTCAACATATATTTAAAGTCTACAAAGAGGAAAAAACAAACATTAAATCTGTGAAAGATTTTTGCTGTTGTTGGAGGGGAAGGGTATTTTGTTTTGCTTTTTTGAGATTAGGGTCTCTCTATGTAGCCCAGCCTTGCCTTGAACTTGTCTCAACCTCCCTTGAGTGTTGGATGTATACAGGTATGTATCACCACACCCAGCTTTAGTAAGCTGCTTGACTAGTTTTTTGTTTTTTTGAAACAGAATATTGCTAAGTACCCCAGGTTGGCCTTGAACTCATGGCAATCCTCTTGCCTCAGCTTCTGAGTACTGGGATTACAGGAATAAGCACCTATGCCCAGTTTAAAGTACAAAAGCAATCAATAGTACTGTCATACATTCCTGGACAAATACCAGTAATTTAATATCTAATGTTGTTTTGAGACAGGGTCTCGCTATGCAGTTCATGCTGGTCTTGAGCTCACTTTGTAGCCCAGGCTGGTCTCAAATTTGCAAGGATCCTCTTGGCTCAGCCTCCTGAATGCTGGGATTACAGGCGTGCACCACCACATCTGGCATTCTAGTGTTCTTAATTATAACTGAATCAGTAAGGAAATAATCCACACGATACTTTATTGTATACTATAGTAAAATACTAGATGTTTAACAGGACAAACGTCAGTTGTTAGAAAATTCACCCATGTGGACAAATGCAAATCCTAATAATTTGATTAAAACCAGAAATGTTTTAAGATTTTTCTTTTTTTAGTTACTCCAGAATCAGAAAGAAACTGCTGGGAGCCCTAAGAGAGGTATTACTAGAACAGGTAAAGAGAAATAATTAATGTATCATGTAAATCCAGGGCAGATTATTTGGATACTACTGCAAATTCTCACTCTGACATCAACAACAGGTAATTAACTGGAACTTAGAAAAGTATTTACACAAGTAATGCACCTTTGTATTGTGGTTTTCAGGACTAGAATGACAGGAACTCTGCTGCTGAAATGATGGAGACGGGGACGGGGATGGAGATGGCTGTCTCTGTTCCTCTTTTTTTCTTTCATATATTCGAACTCGGGCACAAGTCATCATACTTTCAAAGTACAAATAGATAGGATCTTTGTCCTCTTCCCGTATCTGTTTCATACAACAAAACATTCCATACAACGGTGAAAAGTCTCTTACACTCCAAAAGAAAAAGGAAAATCCTTTTGTTTCTGACAACTAAAAATTTTAAACACAACCTTTAAAAATGAATAATGTTAAGTACAGTTCATAGGTGCTAATCTTGGGGTATCTGGTTCTCTACCAGGAAATAGCAGCTCACATCACAGTAGTGCTTTTCAAATCTTCAATGGTGAAGAATTTAATTATGTCTGTCACTGTCTACAACTATAAATACAATAAAAAATTTCTAGAACAAGAAATAAAAAGTACTACAAGCCCAAGTTTTCTAGTATTAAATTTAATAATTTATTCCAATGAACTTAATGTAGAAGTTTCTAAATATCTGCTCTTATTTTCTATACTTATTTCATGGTAGATGAGTAACAGTTTTAGATCAGTACTGGTACAGAAACTACATATACTGTGAAGCACCACAGAAGAGGATCCTTCAAATTAAGGACTGGGAAACAAATGGATTCAGTAATGAGAATTGTTTAAGGTGTGTGTGTGTGTGTGTGTGTGTGTGTGTGTGTGTAAACAGGGATTGAACTCAGGCCCTTGCACTTGCCAGGTAAGCACTTATTCTACTGAGCTATCTCCCCAGCTGCTTAAGATATTGACATATTCAAACAATAAGCTCTTTACCCATCAGTCTTCACATAGTCAAGTAATATCAATTGTTACTTGATTGCTATAATTGTGTATTTTTTAAAAGTTTGACTTTACAAGCCTTTTCTCTTTTTCTGAGTGGGCACATGAGCTACACTCAGGACCTTGCACTTGTCTTGCAGATGCTATGACACTGAGCTATATCCCCAGCCCTCTAATATTTTAATATGTTCTACATATTTTAATTACTCAATAGTCTACACTCCTGGAGTAACAGTACATGTCTTTGAAATACTTTTGCAAGTAACATAAAAAGCCATTTTTCTGTAAGTTTCTTGGAGATTTAGCTACCTTATGAATTATGATTACCTCTTTTAGACATTTAGAAAATGTCAACAACTAAATGGCTCCAAAAAGATGTCATATAGACATATTACATAAAAACATAACTGTCCAGAAAGTATCAACCAAAAATCTGACTAAATATATCACCTTTACAAGTGATTTATGTAATTTGCAATTTAAAAAATATTCAACTGCAGGCTTACCACAGGATTAGGTTTCGGAGTGTATGCCCGTGCAGGTTTAATTCCAGTGAGCAGTTTGCCCTTCATAGTAGTGGATACTACTTCTGGCTGAGGCAGTAATAGTGGTTTCATAGGCTCAATGACAGAAGGCGTTGGGATATAAACTGGCTCTGGATCTACTTCACCTTCTACTTTTACCCATAATGGGTAATGTCGAACAGGTTGTTCAGGCTCCGTTTCACAGATAGCTTAACAAAAATAAAGATAACATTTTAGGTGCTTTTAGAAACAATACCAAAATACAACACTGAAGTAATACCAAAACAAAGTATAGTCCCCCGAAATTGATAATCTCTTTAACATTGAACACTTTTTTTTAATTTTTTTGGTACAGGGTCTCACTATGCAGCTCAGACTTTTATTGATCCTCCTATATTCAGCCTCCCCAACACAAAAGCCACCACGCCTAGACTCATTCACTAGCTCAGCGCACCCCAGGGGTGGGGCCAGCAGCAGACACTTAGCCTGCTGAGCTAGCTCACTGGTCCTACAATGAACAATTTCTTAATCTTTCCCATGCAAAATAGTTCCTCTTTAAGACCCTTCATTCACAGTTATTACTAATGTTCTTAAATATCTGAAAATGCATCTAGAAAGAAATCATTTTAATATTATCACTGTCAGCAATGGGGGTGTGGTGGAGTGGTCAACAGGCCCAATTTTTCCCCTGCAGTACTGGGAATTGAATCTAAGTTCTACTATATGCCAAGCAATCATTCTACCACTGGGCTACAGTTCTTCAATAGGCCCATTATGGTTTGTGTCTTGATGTGCCCCCACAAAGCCTCATGCAGTCATAGGTTTTATTTTTATTTACTTATTTATTTTGAGGTAGGTGAATCTAGAGTGTGTGAGTCACAGAGCAATGCAGGGATTAAACAGTGGGTGACTGCTGGATCACTCCACTGGATGGACTGGCACCACCCTAATACTGGTAGACTGGATACAATATAAGGGATAGAAAGAGTCTTGTTTCTTCTTTTTGCAGTCTTCCACCCCCACTATGAACTATTGTTCTGCCATGTACATCCTGACTTGATACCAGGTACCAACCTGTCTATTACGGACTGCAACCTCTACAAGCCTCTCCTCCTTTAACTGTGGGTGTCAGGTATTTTATCTCATTGACTAAAACAAGGGCCACTTAATCAGAAATGTTATATTCTTCAGCTCTGAGAATCTTCTCCCCATTTCGCTGTTCGTCCTTCTTTTCAAACTCCTTCAAATCATCCATAACGTCCCCCCCCCCCCGGGTCTTTTTTGAGACAGGGTCTCACTGTGCAGATCAGGCTGGCCTTGAGCTCACTTTGTAGCCTGGGCTGGTCTCAAATTCACTATAATTCTCCCTCTTGTCTCAGCCTCTCCCCTCATTTTTTTCTCTTTTTGGAAAACAGAGCAAAAAAGCTCAATTTTTTCACCTTTTCTACTAACTTTGTGTTTGTTCACTTTTAGTCTCAACACTTTTCCCTCTAATAATTCTTCTGTATTTATACTTGTACTCCTTTTAATACAGTAGGAAAAAAAAAGATTCAAATGGGAAGGAAAAATAGGGAGAAGGAGAAGGAGAGGGAAAAGAAGGGGGGGAAAAATGGAGGGCTGGCCAGATAGCTCAGTGGACTGAAGCGCCTGGTTAGGCAGAGCACAGCAGTGGGGTTCAATCCCCAGCATTCTGGGCTGGCCTTGCCCCCAGGGCATGCCGAGACAACTCCTGAGACTGGGCATGGTGGCACACACCTGTAATCCTAGCCTGAAAACAGGAGAATCACTATGAGTCGGATCTACAGAGTGAGACCCTGTAGACCGTGTACTAAATTTTAAAAAAAAGGAAAAAATGGAAACAAATCTTTTATAAATAAGAAGGGGAAGAGGAGTTGAAAGGAAAGAAAAAAGGGAAAAAAAGAAGAATGGAGATACACCATGTTAAAAAAAATATCACGTACAGGTACAAATTTATTATGATGAATGCTATCATTATGTTTATCTAAAATGTACCATACTGGGATGGAGGAAAAGAGGAAAGAGAGGGAAAAAGGAAAAAGATATACAGACACACGATAGCTAAGATAATTGTACTACTAATTTCTATTGGTGTATGGAAATAATGCCTCATTGATCAATTTTACATGCCTATATCTGGTAATGTGAAACACTACTTTGAATATAACAATATGCAATGTAATACCATTGTTCATTCCCTATTGTTTGAAATTCTGTATTATTTTTACTCTCTTCAGAATAAAATGTACTGATACATTTTTTATTTAAATATACAAAAAAAAAAATGTTTAAAAAGCCTTCCCTTCTTTCTTCATCCTTCCCTAATAATAAAACTGAAGGCTTGCAGAGAGGAAAAGAACAAGTGTTTTTATTTAATAATGAGCTATACCAAAGAGAAAAAAATAATACAAATAATTGGCTCCCAAAGTTTTAACAACTCTGATCACAAATGCAATTCAATAAAGCAAAAAAGTAAAAAAAAATAATAATTTTTAAAAAATTTTAAAAAGCAAAAAAGTAACAGATGTACAGTATTTTTGTTTATTTCTGTTTATGGCTTTTATAACTTATTTTTATTGCTTTGACATGGAGAGGTTATGTTTCAAGTTCAAGCCGAGCCTAGGCTTCACAAACTGAACTATACAGCACAACAATAAAAAACCAAAATTACATAGATCTACAATCACTGATAAGGAAAAAGGACATAATCTTATGTTCTTAAATGCATATAGATTATAATGCCACAATAGTCCACTTCTATACATGTACACATTCATAATCAGTATCCACAAAGATGTGTAGAATATACTGAAATATTCATCATCTCTGATGGAAATAATTATACAATAAACAGAAATGTAAATATAAAGTGCTAAAAACTAATATTCCCTGATAAACTAAGAAACAAGGGCCGAGGAGATAGCTCAGTAGAATAAGCACTTGCCTGGCAAGCGCAAGGTCCTGGGTCCAATCCCTGGCACCACCAAAAAAAAAAAGGAAAACTTTTATTCATATTCACAGTTTTAAAATTTTACATATGTATTCACCTATTTCTTTATTTAGCAGTACTGGTTCTCAAACCCAGGGGCTCTCTAACACTGAGCTACACCCCCACCTCTTTCCAAGTATGAGTCTTTACTAGTTCCCTTAGGCTGGCTTCAAATTCGTAATCCTAACTTAGCCTTCAAAGTAGTTAGGATTACGGGTGTGTACCACTATGTATAGCTCATATTCAATATACTTAAATACAAAGACAGAATAGGAAGAAACTGGGAATTAAGTAAGAGGTAATTTGGGTCTAAATCTACAGATTTTATCTAAAGGGAAAAATAAACTTTACAAATGAGTGCATGATGCTCACTATTACACCCTTATTTTATTATGTTCTAAATCTGTAACTACTTGGAAGATAACTCCATGATCAGAGTGTCTCCACTTGGAAGTCTAAGTAAAACTATTATTTTTTCTCAGAGAAAAATTAAATTTTAAAAAAGTGTGTTTGTGTGGTATCATACATGCCTTATAGCATTTTTTTTGTCTATCTTTTTTTTTTTTTTTGAGGAACTGGGGATTGAACTCAGACCCTTGCGCTTGCCAGGGAAGTGCTTATTCTGCTAAGCCATCTCCCCAGCCCCTCATACATGCCTTATAGAAAGAGCATGTAAGTGTAAGAATTCGTAAAACCTTTACTAGACCACTGATTAAGATAAAGGTAGATAGTATTTTTTAAACAACAAAACTTTTCCAAAAAATAAAACACACAGAGATGAGTTTTAACTCTCCATACTCACTATATTCCAGCTTCTTTCTCTTTCTTTTCTCTTTCATGTGTTCCTCCTCTTCTCTGTCTTCGTCTTCTTCCTCCTTTGGCTCCTCTCTCAGATTATCATAAATTACTGGATCTCGATGAGTAGCCTTCCTTTGGAAATGCTTAATTTTGGATCCCCCTTTAACTAGTACAACTTTTCTTTTCAAACAAGTGCAGCCAAACATGCAGTCTGGTCGACGGCAGTGAGCAGGCTGGCGCTTCTCCAAAGCTAGACTAGAACATACACAACCGAGTCGACAGAAGTCATTGTTGCATGGTGGAGCTCTTTTCCTTATGATTGTGTGAATAGGTTTTGTTTTCAGAGATGCCTAAAATAAAAGCAGAAAGCTGTAATTCCACTAAATCATCCTCTGACACACTACCAATTCACAGTCATATATTGGCTGCCTTTTCTGAGTACTTATATCAAAAGACTAGCACTGATTCAAAGGACAGAAAATGAATATAACTAACTCTCTGAGCAATCTCCTATTCTAATGCATAGCACAGATAGCAACAGAATATCCTAATTACAAGCATAAATATCACGATTTTAGCCGGTTATGTTGGTGGTCTCTGAGAGGCTGACAGAAGCAGGAAGATCCACGTTGGAGCCCTGCCTAGGAAATTTAGCAACTCTGAGGGGCCCTATCTAAAAAATGATAGGGCAGTGCATGATTGTGGTCCCAGCACCCAGGAGGCTGAGGCAGGAGGACTCCAGTGAGTTTGAGGCCAACCTAAGCTTCCTAAGGATGGAGGGATGGATAGACGGACAGATGGATGGACGGATGAAAGAACAAATGAACTTCTTTTTTTTTTTTATAATATTTATTTTTTATTTATTACATTTATTTGTGTGTGTGTGTGTGTGTGTGTGTGTGGCCAGCTCAGCCCACCAGGGGGCGGGCTGGCTGGCATGTGGTGCTGGAGGATCGAACCGAGGTCCCTGTGCTTTGCCAAGCCTGTTTCAAGTAGGTGCTTTAGACCACTGAGCCATCTCTCCAGCCCCCAAATGAACTTCTTAGTGACAGCTCAGCACAAAAGCTCTGGATTCAATACCCAATACCACGAAAAATAAATGTGTAACAAGGATAGATTTACTCAATTATATTCTTTAAGGGGTGTGTGTGTATGTCTGTATATAAGTGCAGGATCTCACTACACACTTCAGACTAGTAGTGATCCTTCTGATTTCTGCCTCCTTAGTGCTGGGATTACAGGCATGTGCCACCATGCCCGAACTCCATGGATGGCTCAGTGTGCCCGGGGACAGGGCCGGCGTGGCATGCAGTGCCAGGGATTGAACCCTGGCCCCTGCACATACTTACCTAAGAAAGCACTTGGTCTGCTGAGCTATAGCTCCCTCCAGCCCTCAATTACATTCTTTAGCAAGGGCTGACAAACCTAAGGCACATAGTCCTAAACATTTCACTAGAACACAACCAGTCTTCATTCGTTTGTATACTGTCTATGGAACAACAGCAAAGCTAAGTAACTGCAACAAATGTAGGGTCAGTGAAAATAAAACACTTATTATTTGGCCCTTTACAGAAAGTCTGCCAGCCTCTACTCTAGAATAACTAATAAAAAGGGCAGGGAATTATACATGTATAAGTCAATGAATAATGTAAAAGGTCAGAATCTGTACTTAGTTCCAACATTTCATAATCTTCAGCTCTAGAATTCAGCATTCCATTCTATTCTACTATATTTTTGCATGTTAAGCACAGACCTATTACTAAGCTATACCTGCAACCTTCACTACCAAACTCTGAAATGGAAAAGCACAAAAACTCAATTAAAAAGTTTACATGTTGCCATGTCATTTCACATGCATCAGAGGAAGCTGAAAAAGGTACATCATTTATAGATTACAAATGCTTTAAATAAAGTTTTTCTATAGGCTTATAATTTTTTTTTATTTTCCAGCATTTAGTACCTTGTAAAAAGAATTTTCAAAGTTATTTAACATGATCAGTAATGTTCTCTTGATGAAGAATGTAATTAGAAGATTTTAGAATGGCCGACTACCTTTATATAGCAGCATAGGACATTATTCAAAAGCTAAACTACACAGTCTCCCTCTGCTGGCAGAAAGTATCTATGCATGAGTGAGTAGTTGGTAAAAGAACAAATGAATGGTGCTGGGCAAGATGGTGCATCCATTTTCCCAGCTTTCAAGATGCTAAAACACTAAGCGCCTTAGCAGGCACCCCAGCCCCTTCCCCAGGGTGCACTGAGACAGCCAGAGTCCAGGCATGGTGGTGCACACCTGTAATCCCAGTGCTGGGGAGGCTGAAAACAGGAGGATCACCATGAGTCTGAGTCCAAGCTGAGTAGTGAGACCCTATACCAAATACCAAAAACAAAAAATTGTGGGGGGGGGGGGGAAGATGCTAAAGCAGGAGGATCACTACAAGTTCAAGGCCATCCTGAATTATACACAGACCCCATCACAAGAAAAGAAAAAAAGGGGGGGGGTGATGACATCTCCTTAGTTGTCACTGGGAACTAGTAAAAACTACGTGATCTTCTTGCCAAAAGATTACGTTGTCATTTCTAGTGAAGTACTAACATGCTTCCAAAAAGTAAAAAGAACTTACCTGAGCTGTAAGGAGGGTTGTCAAGGATACATCTGCTCGCTCTTCAGTGATATAGGTCCTTGGTTTTCCTTCCCAAAGTGCACAGTCTTCCAGGTCCATTAGCTTTACCTGAGATTTAGACAAGCCTGGAGGGCGAGTACCCTGTTGCTGCTGTTGCTGTTGCTGCTGCGTCTGCCGCAAGCTAATCTGCTTTGGAAGTACATTTTCCTCTAAAGCTGGCACAACATTATTGACCTGATTATCTGAGATAGTACTTGAAGAGTTCTTGGGGATCTTATCTCCTGGGATCACATGTGTGTGTTTCTGTTTTGGCGAAACAGGGTGTGGTAAAATAGATTTATAAGATGATTTAGTTCGGCCACTGAGTGTTGTCTGTCTGTTTTGAGGCTTTGCCTTTCGAGAGGCAGTGGTTACAGAATGAGGCTTCAAAGAGTAAGAGGTAGAAGGGGAAATGGTAGATTGCTTCTTTAGTACACTATCGAGTGTTCGTACATAGCTGGTACTCTTGGTGGGAAGCTGGTATACCACAGGAGATGTGGGAGCATTGGAAGAGAAACCCAAACTTGTTTCCATCAGTTTGCCTTCATTTTCCAAGTATTCATCTAGCTTATCACTACAGAAAGCAGAACGGTTTTTCAGTGAACCTTCTGAATTTGCACCTAGAAATAAGAAGACACAAAATACTTAATGAAATCTAGGACACATCTTTATAGAGTTGGGGGGTGTGGGGCTTTAAAAGGTTAGGTATACTTATTCCACATCAAGCTACTAAAACTTCTACACTGTTCCTCAGAAATAAGAAAATATAAAACCAAGATTCTCAGTAATTACATGAAACCCCTTTCTCTAGTCTGACATTATCAAAATACATTCTCTAAATCATCAAATTATGTTTTTGACATTTGCAATCTTTTATTGCTTTGTACAAAGTCCCTATTTTTATTATTTGGTTTTCAAAATACTGTAATTGGTTCATAACAATTCCTACATATCAACTGTGTCATTTTTATAGGTGCTATACTATGATTCTTTTTCAGTTACTTTTATTGATTCAAATTACTGAGTACTGATTTCTGCGCAGCACTAACAACAATCAACATAAGCCAGCAATCTTGGCAACTTTTAAAGCTGCCTACAGAAATCACAGAAAAGAACAATCATTAAGAGCAAAAGTAGAATTATATCAAAACAGAATTTAAGGGGGCCTGGCCACAGCTCAGTTCTTTAAGTGGCTGCTTCCACAAAGCTGTCAGCCTCAAGTTGCTGTAGTTCGATCCCCACAGCACTCCAGCCAGCCAAACCACCCCAGAGGGCATTCAGAGCAAAAAAAAACAAAACAAAACAGAATTTAATAGATTTTTGGGGCCAAAGAGATAGCTCAGAGGTATAAGCACCTATCTGGCAAGCTCAAGGACCCCAGTTCGATCTCCAAAGCTGGGGAGGTTGAGCCTGGAGGATCTCTTATGAGTTTGTCACACACACACACACACACACACACACACACACACACACACACAACCTCAGATAAGAAATGCACAAAAGAACAGATTTTTATTGAAATCCTTGAAAGCTTTCTATTTAAAAGACTGGTGTACCTGCTATGTAATACAAAACCTCAGGGAAAAGCTAAAGACACAAATATATATATAACATTTAGTTTTTAAGGAAAATAAAATACTTAGCAAAGGTTCAAACACTGCAGTGTCATAACACCACAGAAATAATCAAAAGTGAAAAAGACTATTTCAGACAAATGGTAAACTCACCAGTTAAAGTGTAAACAGCAAACAAATGTAAGGAAAAAAGCAACAGACTTAACAGATACACTATCAAACATTTGGATCAAGTATACTTTGAAGTACCTTATCAGGAATTACTATATGCCCCTGATGCACAGTTTTAAAATAAAAGTTTCAAAATAATGTTTATTGTAACTACAGGAATAACAGAATGAGATGCAGTTTGAAAAATGTAGGTATTACTTAAGCCTCACATAACTGGTGAATGAACCTTAGGGTTTAGGCTATGCAGTAACAATAAGCAAGATACTCATTTTCAGCTCAGCTTAAGTGTGGTGATCAAGAGCTGAGGAAAAATGGTAAACAAGTCTTATATTTAACACAGAAGTTCTCCACCCCACCCCCCCAAGAGTCCTTGAGGGCATTTCTGGTTTCCTGTGAGAAACTGGGTTCGAACCAGAGTGTCTTGAGCCTGACTGCTTTGTTTAAGCAGGCACTTAAAACAACTGAGCTAATGGGCAGGTCCCCTTATATTTAACACATTTTGGCTACAAAACACATTTAGATTTTTTTTTTTAATTATTTATTTATTTGTGGGGGGGGCAGCTCAGCCCACCTGGGGGCGGGGCTGGCTGGCATGTGGTGCTGGGGGACTGAACCATGGTTCCTGTGCTTTGCTAAGCTTGTTCTAACTAGGTGCTTTAGACCACTGAGCCATCTCACCAGCCCCATATTTAGAACTTTTTCAAAAAATTAATTACCCTCATTTCTAGATGCAGCAGCACTACGAAATTTTCCTCTCCATCCCTTGATCTTGGTAAAGTCGTTGGTCTTTCCTGTCCTAGAAACAAAGGGAAATCCAGCATCTATAGAAGAAAAGTAAAAGAGATGACCAAAATTCTAGCAAACCAACAGCATATGCCAAAATACTAAGACTTTATCTAAAATGTCAAAATTATTTATGAAAATTATGCTGAGAAATAAAAGATCTACTTTAAAATACTAAATTTCTCTTTAAGATGGTAGCTTTTTATCTGTATCACAAATAACCCAAACTTTAAATTGTATTTGACTTTACAAATGCTACATACTCACCAGGAGAGGCAGGGTTGGCTCCTGTAAGGTTCCAAAAGGGGAAGCTTGTTGCTGGAGCCAAAGGTAGCTGTACTCCCAAGTATTTAAGATCAATGCTCATTGCTGGATCCACTGAATTCAATTTTAACCCCACTATAAGAGAAAGGACCACAAATTATATTACCTCTCTTTTATTTTTTCTCTATTTTTAACCTTTGTCTAGGGAAGGGAGAGACTAATGGACGAAAGAAATAATGAAAACTAAAAACTTCAAAGAGCCTGCTTAGGCAGACACAGTGGCCAGGGTTCAATCCCTGGCAGCCCATGCTGGCCCCATCCCTAGGGTGCGCTAAGGCTGCGACTGAAACTGGATGTGGTGGCATGCCCCTGTAATCCCAGCTCTTGGGAGGCTGAACACAGGAGGATCAATAGGAGTCCGATCTACATATTGAGACCCTGTAGACCATTACTAAAATTAAAAAAAAAAAAACACTAGAAACAATGAAATAAGAATGAACAGTGACAGATGCACTTTAAGGTGAACCTATAATCCACACCTTCTAGTATCATGTATCTGTATAACCCCTCTTGAGTGTGTAAAAAGACCCTAATTTATTTGTAACCAATGGAATCTGGCAAAGAGTATGGGATATACATGATAAGTGTATGTGATATGTAAGAGTGTAGAACCCATCTTGCTAGAGCTGCAGGAAATAAATTCTGCCAACAAGCTGAGGAAAGCTTAAAGTGGCTCCCTCTCCAGGCATGCTCCCGATAAGTCAGATCTGACCAACATGTGCCACTGAGCCACATCAAGAGTCAAACTACCACACTGGCAAGCCCCAGTCAGTATCTTGATGTAGCTTTGTAAGACTGAAAGCAGATGGCTAAGACTGCCAACAAACAAAAAAAGTCAAAGAGTAAACGTGCTGTTTAAATTGCTGTCTGTCCACTACTGCCATCCTGGCCTTGGAGCCACTAAAAGAAAGCCAAGCTAAAATTTTCCTCTTTTAATTAAAAAAAAAAAAAAATTGCTATGTTTGTAATAATTTATTAAGAGACAATGAATAAGTAGGCAGGTGTGGTGGCCCATGATTATAATCCTAGCATTTGGGAGACGAAGGAATGAATATCACAAGTTCAAGCTCCAACAGGGTAATTTAAGAAGATTCTGTACAGCTCAGTGGTAAACGTTTCCAGCGTCTTTGTCAAGATCAGGTATAGCAAAATAAAATAAAATAAAATAAAATAAAATAAAATAAAAGATCAGGTATAGCTCAATGGCAGAGTGCTTACTTAGCATAGTCAAAGCCCTAGATTTAATTCCAAATACTAAAAAATTTTTTAAAAAGCACAAGAAGCCCAAGAAAATCTGATAAAACTACCAACACATATACACAACTAGAAATTAGAATAAGGAAGAATCATGGGTGGTGAGGAAGAAGAATGGGGGGAGGGGAGACAGAAAAGAAGCTATTATATAAATTCAAATTAAAAAAAAAAAAAAGAAAGAAAGAAAATTCTAGGGCCAGCCAAATAGCTCAGCGGATTAAAGTGCCTGCAAGTAGGCACAGGGGCAAGGACCAGGTTTGATCCTGGGCCTGCTGTGCCAGCCCCACCCCCGGGGTGTGCTGAGACCACAAATGAAACTAGGCTCAATTGTGATAGCTCACCCCTGTAATCCCAGCTCTTGGGAGGTTATAAACAGGCAGAGCACTCTGAGTCCAATCTAGTAATGAGAACCTGAACACCCTGTAGACCTTTCTCTAAAATATTTAAAAAATTTTAAAAATCCTAAAAGATTAAAGGAGAAATTCCAGCACTCAGGAGGTGGAGACAGGAGGATTACTGCAAATTCAAGATCATTCTGGGGGCTACAAAAGTGAGCATAAGGCCAGCCCAAATTGCACAGAGGCCTTGGGGGGGGGGGGGGAATCAAAAGATACCATACAATCTTTACAAAAAGAAAAATAGTGCATGACAAATTATTAGAACCACCACTTATAGGAAGAGTGAATAGAACAAAGCTGTTAAACTGTTCCCTCTTCAAGCAAACAAATATGTAAAATCTAGATTGATGTTACCAAATTTGTTTTTTTGATGCTATCAAATTTAGTGACTATTTGCTACATATTGTCTTGTCTTCATTTAAATATTTTGAGCTGTCGTCCAAGTGACGGTAAGTAATAAAAACAAGTTTTACAACTAAAATTTACTTTAAATATGCACTTTTTAAGACAGGCATGGTGGCATATGTCTGTAATCACAGCAAAAGGAAGTGTGAGGCCAGCCTGAACTACATAGCAAGAAATATCAAAAAGAAAGAAAAAAAAAAGCATTATTTAAAGAAGTCTTTATTTTTATTTTTTGGTACCAGTAATCAAACTTAAGACCTTGCGCTTGCCAGGCAGGCACTAGTGCCATTGAGCTCTATCTCTGACTTAAACATGCATTTTTTTAAAAGATGCTAAAATAATAGGCTAATGCTACATAATCTTTTTCAAAATAAAACCAATTTAGCTTATCCAAAAATACTTTGCAAGGAATGTTTGCCCTACAAGAAAACGCTCAGATAAGACATATTAAGGCATAGACTTAACTAAAAAAACATATATGTAACTTTATTTTGGTCTTTTTGAGACAGGGTTTTGTTATGCAATTCACTCTGTGGCCCAGGGCTGGCCTCTGACTTACAGGATTCCTTCTGCCTCTGCCTCTGCCTCTTTACTGGGATTATAGACATACACAAAAACACCTGACTTAGAATGAGTATAACTTTGGCTTGCAAAGAGTTAAAATAATCCATGGGAAGTACACTGTATAGCAGCCTAAAGTCTTTTCCATATACGTAATTTTTTGCCACAATTCTCTATATTAAGAGCTACAACCTTTATTTATTTATTTATTTAGAGACAGTGATTCACTATGCAGTTCAAGCTGGCCTTGAACTCTTGTTTCCCAGACTGGCCTTAAATTCACAGTAATTCTT